GTGGGAGAGTCTGAGAGTAAGCAGAGAGCCTTGGGGTGCTCAGCCCCAGCGGCTGCTGGAACTGGTCAGTTGTGGGGGAAGAGGATGCAGATCCAGGCCATTTGAGCTGATGCTTGGCTCTAACGTTTCAAGGAGACCAGTATTCCAGTCTCTGCTGCCCCACGTTCCCGGGATGGGTCTTAGCCCACGGCTATGAGGTGACTTACAGGAAGGAGACCAGTGAGCTCAGGTAGATGAGGGTGCTGAAATGATGGGGGATGAGCAGCTCCGTCGTGGACTGGGCAGCTGCAGGGCCCTGGCCTCACAGGATGGACAGCATCCTGCTCCCATGGCAGCCACAGCGCAACAAATCCCACTATTCCATTCCCTTGGCAACCTCTGCTGCGGCTCCAGTGCCAGGATGAAAGGCGACTCATTGTTTCTTCAGCAAGAGGGAAGGGAGCCCTGGGCTTTATGTTCCCCAGAATGAGAAGATTTGCTCTTTTTTGTACATCTTTCTCCATGAGGTAACTAGAAGGACAAAGAAATCGCGATGTAATGCCACCCTTAACTCCAAAAGCCAGAAACGCAGGAGGCCACAAAGAGCATTAACATCGTCCCTAAAGCTCACGGTCATCTCAGACACTTGTTTCACCTGCAGCTTGCTCGTCTTTAAAATAAAAACAAATAAAAAGTCTCCAGAGGCTCATAAAATACCTGGAAGAAGACAAAGAACTTCTGTTTTCCAGGAGAAGCAAAAAAATACATCCTAAAACAAAAAAACCCACCCCAAATATGTGAAACTAGCAGCAGAGAAACACAGATTAACCAAAGCTAAACAGACGAGATGCCCCTGCGTGGCAGGGAAGCGATGTCCTCGCTCACGAGACCTCAGCCCCACGGGAGCACTACCCGGTTCTGCCGAAGGAGCTGCTGAAAAGGAAGAATAAATATTTTCATACCCAAAGTTCAGTTTATCTGCTTTCCATCCTCTGCTGCCAGTGCTAGAGATGGGCGGCAAATTATCCAGCCACACATTAAGATATGACAGCGGAGATGGGTTTGATCGTGTTCCTTTCAGGCAGACTTTTGGAGCTAAGCCGAGTCAGTATGAGAAGATTTGAGAAGGTCTGTTCACAGCTGGGCAATAAAAAGACATTTACTACGAGCATTATATTGCACGTGCCAAATCACAGAATCGTTACAGCTGGAAAAGACCTTAAGATCATCAATTCCAACTGTTATCTAACTCTACCGGGCCCACTCCTAAACCATGTCTCTGAGCACCGTATCTAGACAGCTTTTAAATACATCCAAGGATAGTGATTCAAGCACTTCGCTGGGCAGCCCGTTCCAGTCTTTGATAACCCTTTCAGTGTAGAAGTTTTTCCTAATGACTAACCTAAACCTCCCCCGGTGCAAATTGATGCCATTTCCTCTTGTCCTATCGGTTGTAACTTGTGAGAGGAGACCAATGCCCACCTCTCTACAACCTCCTTTCAGGTAGTTGTGGAGAGCAATAAGGTCTCTTATTGGGACCTCCCCGGTTCACCAGGACTGCTGATAAATTATGAAGAGTGGTCTGGTAAGCACATCCGCCAACTCCTTCAGCACTCCTGGGTGTAACCCATGTGGCCCCACAGACTCGTGTATGTCTCGGTGGTGCAGCAGGTCACTGACCATTTCCTCTTGGATGATAGCGGTCTCATTCTGGTCCCCATCCCTGTCTTCCAGCTCAAAGGGCTGTGTACCCAACAAACAACTAGTCCTGCTATTAAAGACTGAGGCAAAGAAGGCATTTGGTACCTCAGCCTTTTCCTCGTCCTTAGTCACTGTGTTTCCCCCTGCAGCCAATAAAGGAGGAAGATTCTCCCTCGTCCTCCTTTTGATGTTAATATATTTATAGAAGCATTTTTTATTGTCTTTTGCAGCAATAGCCAGATTGAGTTTTGGGGTGTCAGTGCCACTCTGGCTTCAGCAGCTGCCAGAGAGGCAAAGGGTGGGGGCTCGAAGGTTCCTGGGGACCCAGTACAAACCAACACTCATTTTTCCTTGGGGTACTGGGAGGACACCAGGAGTGGTGGGCACCCTTGGGCCCCATGAGGATGCTGGGATCCACCTTGGGCAAGGATACACTGCTCCCCACGCCTAATGCCCCAGCTCCCCCCTTGGTGTGCCCCCTCCATCCCTCTGTCCCCCTCCTCTCTGCTTCTGTCCCCGGAGGCTGGGGCGCTGAGCCGGGGTGCTGAGCCTCGGGCCAGCCCTGCCCTCTAGTGTTGTGGGAGGCGCTCTCAGCCGCGGGCTCAGCCCCGAGCTGCCGGGAGCTGAGCCCTCGCAAACTCCTCACACAGCCCGCAGAGTCACCCCGGGGTCTGGCAGGCTTCCCACAGCCCCACAGCATCACCTCCCACCCGGCCACCGCTGCTGGGGGGGTGATGGGGACACGAGGACAAGTCCTGGACCCTGCATGGCACCATGGGGACCCCTGGTACCGCAAGTCCGTCCCCGGGCTGCCCGAGGGGGTGGCGTGGGCAGCATCGCCCCAGCGCAGGTGTCCTGCTCCCCAAGCCCTGAGGATGCGCAGGCGCATCGGGACGGGTGACAACCACCATCCCCAGCACCCTGGGTCAATAACCGGGCGGCCGAGGCGGCGTGGGGGCACGCCAATGGGCGCCCGCAGCGGCGGGAGAGGGAGGAGAGCGCTGGAGGCTGCTGGTTAAACTGGAACAAGGCGCGGCGGCCTCCCCGCGGTCCCTGCCCTCCGAGCAGCCCTACAGCCGCTGGGACGGAGCTGGGCAGGAGCAGAGCAGGATGGACCCCACCATGGAGCTGGCAGAAGACCCCAGGTGGGTGCCAGGGACCCCCGTGCTGCTTTGAAGCAGGGTGATTCCAACTTTTTTGAGCAGGATTTTGAGTTATTCCATCCGTAAAGGAAGGGAAGTGCCTGAGGGTGAGGTGAGCCGGCCAGGGGACACCAGGGACCCTGCAGGGCTGGGTGTCCCCATGTCCCTGCTGGCCCCGTGCAGCACTCCCCTTCTCTGCAGGTTTCCCCGCCCGTTGGTGGAGATGCTGATCAGGAACTTCAGCGTGCCGGCAGCCTGCTTCTCCCTGCCGCCCACCTCCCCGGA